ACTCTACAAAGGGCGACAAAGTGAGACTCTGGGTCTCAAAAAAAAAAAATATTAATGCCTCCCCCCAACAAAGAAAAGTGTTATCTTGTCACAAGTTGATGATTCTATAAGAACATAAAAACAAGTTAGGCTTCTAGAATTTGAAGGTGAGGAAGACCTACTCTTGGAGTCCTCTATTATGAGCCCAAGGCTGTCACCCCTTGGGCTCATAGCAGCTTATGTTGGCCTCATTAGCTTAGTGAGAGGTGCCAGAGGCAAGTTTACTAACCCAGGTGGCCCCAGAGTTTCAAACAGAAGATTCTCCAATAGGCTATGTTGTCCAGCCTCACCATGCTGCTGTCTCTCTCTGAACTTTTCACCCATTACATGGCCTAGATCTTACTCTGGTGGTGATTCTGCCAAATTTCCTCATTTTGTAATTGTGCCATTTACTTAAAAAAAAACTAATCAGTAGTTTGCACATCAAATTTCAAGGCTTCAAGGCCTAGAAAAAAGAGTCTTGAGCTGGAAGCCCATAATTGCCATTCCATTGACTTGGTAGGTGAGCTGGAGCAAGTTTCTTCCTCTCTCTGGGTCTTTTCTTTTTTATAGTGGATCAGTTGCAACAAGTGAGCTTCAGAATCTCCATTAAACAGGATCAGTAGTCAGAGTTTATGGAGTGATGCCATTTAGTTTTGTCAGGTGTGCTGACCCATATCTGTCATCTCTGCCACAGATTGTACAGAGTATACTTTCTCACCATTGGCTCATCCAGAAAACTAGCATCTTTGCCATCTCTCTTCAGGAAGCATAAAGGACAGCAAGTGCAAATACATGTGGCTGCAGCATCTTGCTCAGGCTTCCTAATAATGGCAAGGCCATTATCATCCCTTGTGGAGGAACCTGAAGTTTAGAGAAAACAAAGCACTTGCCCCAAGCTGTGCAGCCAGTGGGTGGAGTCAGGATTGGAAACAGGTCCCTCTGACTCCAAAACACACTTTGTCATTTTCAGAAAATAGTGGTTCCTTGAGATAGAAATGAGGGATTGAGGGTAGAGACCTCAATCTCTGGCAGAGACCAGAAATAGCAATCAATTTTTACAGAGCTTTGCAGATATATTAAAGAGTGTAGAATTTATTTACTTATTTTTTCTTTCGTTTTTTTTTTTTTTGTCGAGACAGAGTTCTACCCTATGTCCTGAGCAGAGTGCAATGGTATCGTAGCTCACTGCAACCTCAGACTTGGCTGTGGGCATCCTGCTGCCTCAGCCTCCGAAGCTGCTGGGATTACAGACACTTGCCACGGCACCCGGCTGGGTTTTTCCATTTTTTTCATGAGTCAGGGTATCACTCCAACTCAGACAAGCCTCAAACTCCTGAGCTCAGCAATCCTCCCACCTCATCCTCCCACAGTGCTGGGATTACAGGCATGAGCCACTGCACACAGCTATTATTTATTTATTTGAGACAGAGTCTCACTGTTGTCCTCGGTAGAGTGCCGTGGTGTCATAGCTCATAGTAACCTCAAACTCTTGGGCTTAAGCGATTCTCTTGCCTCAGCCTCTCAAATAGCTGGGACTACAGGTGCCCGCCACAATACCTGGGTTTTTTTTTTTTTTTTTTGCAGTTTTTGGCTGGGGCTGGGTTGGACCCCACCCCCCCCAGCCTATGAGGCTAGCACCCTACTCCTGGAGCCACAGACGCCCCCCACGCCTGGGTATTTTTTGGTTGCAGTTGTCATTGTTTAGCATGCCTGGGCTAGGCCCAAACCCACCAGCCTTGGTGTGTGTGGCCGGCACCTACTCACTGAGCTACTAGCACTGAGCTAAGAGTGTAGCATTTAAACTTTGGACAGGTGAGCCACTGATCAGATTTAAAGAGGGAAGAACATGATTAGATATGTATAAGAAAGATCAGTTTGGCTACAAGACAGTGGATTAGAGCAGCGGTTCTCAACCCGTGGGTCACGACCCACAGGAATTGTATTAAAGGGTCGCGGCATTAGGAAGGTTGAGAACCACTGGATTAGAGGGAGACAAAAAAGATAGGCTGTTGAAGTAATCCAAGCAAGAGATGATGATATATTCCAAGTATTAAAAAGAAAGAGAGATGGGGTCTGGACTGGCTGCAGAATGAAGGGAAGTAGATGATTAAGAAGAGAATATTTGCAGAACGTACTGCTTGAGTAGATTTGGGGAGTGAGGGAGAAGGCAAGGTGGCAGTATGACTCCCCAGGTTTCTTCTTTGGGCCTTTGGAGTGCATTATGATGGTGTTCATTGGGATGGGAAACACCAGTAACAGCTGGGGGAGGAAATTAGGAAATTAGTTTATTGTTGGACGTTATGAGTTTGTATATCTAGAACAGGTGTCCTCAAACTATGGCCTGCAGGCCACATGTAGCCCACCGGCTGTTTTTGCTGCTGCTGCCTGTCCTGATTAGCAGCCAACTCATCCTGGGGCCCGCAGTCTGGCCCTCCAAAGGTCTGAGAGACAATGAACTGGCCCTGTTTAAAAAGTTTGAGGATCCCTCATCTAGAAAGAGATGTTCAAGGGGCTTAGTATGTGGTGTGGAGCCCAGGAGAAATCCGGGCTGGAATAGTGAACTTAAGAGTTGCTGAAGCTCAGCTCAGCGCCTGTGGCTCAAGTGGCTAAGGTGCAAGCCACATACATCTAAGGTGGCGGGTTCGAATCCAGCCTGGCCCGCCAAACAACAATGACAGCTGCAACCAAAAAGTAGCCGGGCATTGTGGTGGGTGCCTGTGATCCCAGGTACTTGGGAGGTTGAGGCAGGACACTTGCTTGAACCCAGGAGTTGGAGGTTGCTGTGAGCTTTGATGCCATGGCACTCTACCCAGGAGGGACAGCTTGAGGCTCTGTCTCAAAAAAAAAAAAAAAAAAAAAAAGAGTTGCTGAAGCTCAGGATTTGGATGAAGTCATCCAGTGTATGGAGTAGGGAGAGGTCAAGGACAGAGACTGGGGCATGTGGCCAGGCACAAGTGGGAGGTCAGTGCCTGTCTAGTGGATGGCTGGTGTTCTGGGGGTCGGGGCTAGGACATTCACTTGGGCCAGGGGAGCAGATTGAACGATTTGTCCAGCAATGAGGGAGGAGCCAGATGAAGTCAATAGAAAACTAATTTTCTTTTCTGCTGGAAGAAATGAGGTGTGTGGCCGCTGGGTAATTGCAGATAACGAGGGGACTTATTCTTAATATGCACAGCAGCCATGGTCCCCAGAGTGCAGGAGACAGGAAAGATTGGAGGTGCCCTGACAGGGCCAGGTTTATTTGGGAAGAAAATCACCCTATCATAGGCCCTCCACCAATGCCATCTCAGCCCCTGAGCCCCTCATGAGCCCTCCCCCTCCCAGGCTGCTTCCTGTCCCATTCCGCTTCTTATCAACTGCCTAGCTCCTCCTGTCACAGCCCCTCCCTCCACCACCCTCTACCCCCACAGCATAGGCATACACACTAAGGGAGACAAATGACGGGGCCTCAGCTGAGCAGGGCGCGTGTCCGGCCCATAAACCACGGGGATGGGTCACGTCTGGAGTTGCCATGGCCGCCACTGCCCACCCATCTGTCTTCCCACTGTTCTGCCTCAGACCAGACCTCATGGCTTCCTGAGTCCCTGGGGAAACGTCATGTCCTCTCTTCATGCCCACCTCTCCCGCAGGTACATCCACACTGAACCCTGCAAGACAGGCTAAGCAGGTTCCATGGAGCTGGTGTCTGGCCAACCAGAGTCCATTTTCTCCCACAGCCCTTTTCTCATACTGGAGCTTCCCCCTTCCAAGGCTAAGATCCTGGCAAGGGTGGGCCTGGGGGCTCAGTGGAAGGGGTTGGTCTTTGACAGATGCAGAGGCCTCCTGATCCCACCTTGATGTTACCCCTCCACCCCATGCTTGACTATGACATTGATAATGCAATTATTTCCTCAGTCACAGCCTCAATTCCATGAGGGTTGATGGCAGCTGAGGCCCTGGTTATGGCTCAACATCTGAGAGAAGTGGGAAGTGAGAGGATGGCAAGTAGTAGCTGCTCTGGGCAACTGAGAGAAAAACTCAGGCTGTTTCCTTCTTGGCTTACTCCAGTGGGATAAGCTCTGAGCAGCTGCACCTCCTGCTGGTGGTAGTGGTAGTGGATGGAACAAGTCCTGGTCCATGTCCATGATTCTGTAGTCTCCAGGATTTTAGGACAGTAGAACACTGCTTCTGACAGAGTCTGACACACATATTTTACCTGAAGTATGGGCAGAAGACAGGGCCCAAGAAGGTGACCAGCACCCACTTCGAGCCTACTGGAATGGAGGCAGGACTTAGGCTAATGTACACAGGAGTGTCCAATAGGGAGTGGATGGCCAAGGCTGTGAGGACTCTCCCCAACCTGTCTGGGGGCTGCACAGGAATAGATACCTAGGCAAGTAGCTGTCTGAGCACTCAAGTCTGGGGCACAGGGCCTGTGTTCCCAGGGCCCTGGTCCAGTGGTGCTGAGCCTTGTGCCTTGTCACTAGTGATTATGGCTTGGGTCACATCTCTCACACACATGAAAGTGCCGGCAAAGTCACCCTGGCCATGGGCGTGATGAATGGCCACACAGTAATGAAATGGAGACATCAAAGCGGGTGGCGGGAAGACGGAGTGTGGCGGACGGGCCATCCCCACGCGGCGGCAACAAGAAGGATCGCCCAGGGGCCGGGGGCCGTCAAGGGAGAAATTACACATTTACTCTGCCTTTTTCTTACTGCGACGGCACCCATACATCACCACTGGGGCTGGGGCGGGACACGCCGGCCAATTTCCAGCATGAATTATGGGACTGAGAAGCATTGAGACCAGGCTTCCTGCCGGCCCAGCATCACCCAGCCCAGCCTTAAGCTGGAGATGCTGCCACCAGGGAATAGGACGTCCAGTTCTACAGCCCGTCACTCTTGAATTCAACCCTGCTTCTCTCCCTTGTAAGGGAACCTATGGGCACAGGGGAAGGATCTGGGGCCCATCTAAATGTCTTCTCTTCTTCTTTTTAGATGACTGCAAGAACATTGCCAACATCATGAAGACACTTGCATATCGAGGCTTCATCTTCAAGCAGACATCGAAGCCATTCTGATTGGCCAAGGACAGGATGGGGCAGGACAGGGTAGCTGTTTGGCTTAGTCCAGAATCCTCCTCTCCCTCTCTAGAGGGGAAAAGGGAGAGTGGCACAGCTCTGCATCCAGAGTGTCCCCCCAGTTGCCCTATTGGGTTTATGCCCTGGGCAAGGGCTTGGCCAACTTGGCCTCTCTGGAGCAGACACTTTTTGCCCCCCCCCCATCCCCACCCCTCAATCTCAGCCCAGTATCAGTCCTTCCCATTGTTGGCCTGGGCTAGGGGGACCCAGGCACTAACTGCCTCCTCCCTGGTATACAGGCTTCTGCTGGGGCATCTAGCCCCTTGTGCCCCTTCCCATCCATAGTGCATGGTGTGTGGTACCTCCAGGGCTCCAGGACAGATCAGGCCCCACCTTGTGTCTACCCCATCCCCGCTGTGAACGTGCCACTGAATAAAGTCGGGGAAATGAGGCCCTGGGTGTGCGCGCAGTACCATCTGTGTGTGTAAGGCTGTTGCTGTGCCTGGCACTGTCAGGCTGTTAAGGCAGGTAGTGTGCTTCAGCTTCAGGCTGCCTCTGTGCCCAAAGCTATCAACAAGTGACTAAGACACCCTCATTGAATATACACAAGTCTGTGGAAGTGTGGGGACTGTCTAAGCTCAAAGCTGCTGGCATCTGAGGTCATTGCTGTATAAAACTGTGGAGGTTCAGGGCTGCGCCTGTGGCTCAAAGGAGTAGGGCGCCAGCCCCATATGCCAGAGGTGATGAGTTCAAACCCAGCCCTGGCCAAAAACGGCAAAAAAAAAAAAAAGAATTGTGGAGGTTCAAAGGTGCAGAATGTTCGGCAAAACTGGTAGTGGTTGGTGGTCAGAGGGCCCCTGAAGGGCCTGAACGTAGGCAAGCCCCACTACCACCCTGTGCAGTGGCTGTGGAATCCCCTCCTGGCCCACTTCTCCCAGCCAGAGACAAGAGGTAGAAAGGGAAAGGAAGCAGGCTGATCCAACTTAGCAGCTCTATTTACACAATAGTGTCACCCACGCCCCATGTGGCCTCTCATGGCTTCTTGGCTTTCTTCACAGAAGATGAGCTGGAGGCCGACTCCCTTCGCTTCCTCTGAGGGGACACAGAAAGTGTGGAGGTCAGTGGCCCCAGGGCCTGAGTCAGGTGTCTGCGTGCCTGTGTGTGTGTGTTTAACACTCTTGGGGGGATGATGCCTGCCCGCTCCTCCCTCAGTCTCAGACCCACAGAGGGGTGATCGCTCCTGTTCCAGCACTAGAGGGAGTGGAGTCAGAGCATGCGCTCCTAGCCCACCCAGGTTCTTACCGAATTGGGTGTGAGGGGTGCGCCCACCACATCAATGATGGTTTCCTTGGTGGGGTCAGGGCCAAGTCCAGGTTCAGACACTGCTGGCTCAGCAGAGGCTGGGGCTGGGCCCGATGCTGGTGTGGCAGGGCCCCCCAGCACGCCAGCCCGGGCCAGTGCCTCGTGACGGTGCCGCAGCATCTGCAGCTCATATTCACAGTTGGCACAGGCCTGCTTCAGCTCATAGAGCAGCACCAGGTCGCTTCGCAGCTCGTTGAACATGTGCACCAGCTCCTCCGTGGGTGTTGGGCTCAGCTCTGCAGGTGGTGAGCAGCATAGGGTAGAGCTTGCTATGGTGGGAGGCCAGCACTGTGAACCCTTCCCACTGCCCAGCCTTCATCCATAGCCCTGGGTAGATATAGCCCATGGGGCCATCCCCACACTCACCCACACCAAGCTCCAGTAGCATCTGTTCCAGGGCCTTGATCTTCTTCTGTCCCACAGAGCTTGGCAGCTTCATCTGCAATGACCCAGGCAGCTAAGCTCTCTGCCCGACAAAAGGCTTAGGATGATGGGGACCGAAGGCAACAGGGGGTTAGGGGATGGAAAAAAGAAAGTAATCCACGGAGGTAGCTATGGGCTAGAAAAGGGAATAGCCAGGAAATGGAATGGAGTGAAAGCTACGGCCTCGGCTTGGCTACATCCTCCTGAGATCCTGGAGAGGCCACAGTTGTCTGCAGCAACCTCTCCAGCCCCATCTGCCAGCAGGTCACAGGACTCAGAAAAGTCCAGGGCCCAAACATTCCACAGGAGGTGACACACATACCCGCTGGCTCCGCAGTGTGACACCTGCAGACTTAAAATCTGGAAACTTGATGCCTGCAGTCTCAGGAACAGCCTGGGGAAGAAGGCATTATGGGAACCTAGGTGTTGCAGGGAGTGGGCCCAGGATTAGTCCCAGTACCCCACCAGCTCTAGGTGCTCTTAGAATCCTCCACTTGTGTGGGGCCCTATGCCAGGCAACCCTCTATCCTGAGCTGGGCTGGCTTAGCCCCCGCACCGGTTTCTCAGCCTCCTTTTTCTGGGGTAGCTTCTTCTTAGGGGCCTTGCGTTCCGTGCGCCGCTGCTCTGCAGTGGTGTCTGCTGCTGTAATCAACTTCTGTAGGTCTTGGCTACGTTTCTCCCGCTCCTTCTTCCGTGCTTCAATCTTGCGCAGCTCCTGTAGCAGGTACTCCTCCTCTGCCACCTGGGGAGGTGAAAGATGCTAGGTGTGAGGGCAGGCAGGGTGGCGATGGATGCTGGGACGCCTATGAGGAAACCTGAGAAGTGAAGGATCATGAGGGAGGTGAAGGGCCATGAAGAGTAGGGGAATGACTCACATAGGAATGGGTAGGGGCAGGTAACAGCATATCTAAGGGAGGGAGATAAGGGGATGGAGGATGGGGATATGGGCATGGAGGAGAAGTATGTGGGGCTTAGGCTGACCTGCTCTGGGGTCCGGTTGTACAGACGCTCTAGCTGTTCCTTCCGCCGTCGCTCATGCCCAGCATCAAATACTGGTATCTTGAGGTCTGTACCTGGCACAGCCCGCACATTGGCAAGCTTAGCACAGATGTGGTAGTATCGCTCCTTCAGGTCCTCCACAGAACGCTTCTGAGGATCAAGACCAGGTATGGGAATGAACATTCAGGGGCAATTGGAGGGGACAGCATGAAGGTCAGTCCCAGGGGTTGGGCATACATATACAGATGCACAACCGCTCACCTTGAACTGCTGGTGGTCATACCGGTCGTGGATAACTACAAAACGCAGGTCAAAGCGGCGGCTGAGGTCAAAGAGGTGATCAGTTTCTGCCTTAGTCCAAGCATCATCGTGGAGATACAGTTGGTACTCCTGCTCTGAGTACACAGGCACCTGCACAGTCTACTAGCGAGAAGCAACACAGCAGAGACATGCCCCTGTGACCACAGCTACTTCTGTTTATTACCTCCCCTGGGCTAAACAAAAAGCAACCCTCTGCCTGTTCCCTGCAGGAGCAGCCTGGCGTGAGGAAAGAACCTGTCTGTTTGACCACAGGCTTAGCAGGCTTTGGGCCTGCAGGCTGCCTGATTCAACCCAGGAGCAACTTTACTACGTCTTCAGCTCCACAGCCCCGGCAATGGCACACGCTCCTGCCTCCATGGTTAAGGTTGAGGGCCCCACATGTGAGCACTTCTATGAAGTCCCCGAAGTCAACATTGGGGTAGGGCAAATGGCTAACACCTGGAGAAAGGCTCAGGCGTCTCTGGTCCACACAACTCTTATCTAAAGCACTACTGCCATCCAGTGGTGACAGGGGGACGTGCGGCTTCCCCAGACTCATCAGCACACATCACAGAATCCAGGCCTGAATCCTAGTCTCAACATACCTCCCTCTTCCCTCCATCCCAACTCCCAGGACTCTCCCAGAGACAAACAGCATCACCAACTTGATCTGGCAGAGATCAAAGAAGGAATCACGCTAGACTGGACCAGGGAGTTTCTCTTCTCTGTTAAAGACCACAACTGGCTCTGAACCTTCCCTCAAGACCTGTATTTTCTTTTTTTTTTTTGAGACAGAGCCTCAAGCTGTCCCCCTGGGCAGAGTGCCGTGGCATTACAGCTCACAGCAACCTCCAACTCCTGGGCTCAAGCGAGTCTCCTGCCTCCGCCTCCCAAGTAGCTGGGACCACAGGCGCCCGCCACAACGCCCGGCTATTTTCACAGCCCGCAGTCATCTTTTTTTTGGCGGGCCCGGGCTGGATTCGAACCCGCCACCTTAGGTGTACGTGGCTGGCGCCTTAGCCGGTTGAGCTATAGGCGCCGAGCCAAGACCTGTATTTTCCAGCTGCCTCTTGGACATCGAGAGGTTCACACATATCTCAAACTCAACATGCTCAGTACTGAACATCACCTCCCCCAAAACATTTATCTTTTCCAGTCCAGATCTCAGTCCATGTCACCATCGCCCAACCTAGTTGCCCAAGCATCTTTAATTCCTACTTTTCCCCTTGACTCCTCCCCTTCACCAAATCTGGCTTTCACCTCCAAAATTTCTATCTCCATTGCCACATTCCAGTCCAGAACACCACTACCACTTGCCTGGATCAAAGAAATAGCCTCCCTACTAGTATCTGCTCCCACCCAATCCTCCTCCAATCAATTCTCCATCTGTAGCCAAGACTTGGATCCCTTTAAACAGTGCTACTTAACAGGCAGTCTAGTGCTGTTTGCAGTTACCACTGACCTATAAGAATGGAAATTGAAAGTAAGCATGGAAGAGTTTTATAACAATTTTATAATGGTATGCTGTTGAATCTAGCATGAACAATATAAAACTTGTATCTTTATCAGTCACTCTCTGATGGAAACCAAAAAGAAAACATCCTTGACCACAGATAATTTGAGACACACTATCCTGGTGTCCTAGAATATACATCTCATCGTGTCACCCAACAATCCCTTATTCGACCACGTGGGCAAGCACAGTGGCTCACATCTATAATTCTAGCACTCTGGGAGGCTGTAGTAGGAGGATCACTTGAGGCCAGGAGTTTAAGGCCAGCCTAAGGAAGAGCGAAACCCTGTCTGTATAAAAAATAGAAAAATTATGGCTTGGCGCTTGTAGCTCAGGGGCCAGGGCACTAGCCACATACACCAGTGCTGGTGGGTTCAAATCCAGCCCAGGCCTACCAAACAATGACAACTATAACCAAAAAATAGCCAGGGGTTGTGGTGGGCACCTGTAGTCCCAGCTACTTGGGAGGCTGAGGCAAGAGAATCACTTAAAGCCCAAGAGTTGGAGGCTGCTGTAACTGTGATGCCATGGCACTCTATGACATAGCCTCTTGCCTCAAAAAAAAAAAAAAAAAGGCTCAGTGCCTGTGGCTCAAGTGGCTAAGGCGCCAGCCACATATACCTAAGGTGGCAGGTTCGAATCCAGCCCAGGCCCGCCAAAAACGACGACGGCTGCAACCAAAAAATAGCCGGGTGTTGTGGCAGGCGCCGATGGTCCCAGCTACTTGGGAGGCTGAGGCAGGAGACTCGCTTGAGCCCAGGAGTTGGAGGTTGCTGTGAGCTGTGATGTCATGGCACTCCACCCAGGGGGGCAGCTTGAGGCTCTGTCTCAAAAAAAAAAAAAAAAATTAGCTAGGCATT